TGGGGCTTGAGTAAGCTTACTCCAATTCTTTTTCCACAGCCAGTTTTATTTAATGTTTACTTTTGCTGTAAACATTTGTATACTCCTAATTAATTTGAGCTGTTAAATAATATGGCTACCTTATTGCCGGTACTTTATGGATGATTAACTTTTAACACTTTATTTGTAGGGGTGAGATAAGTAATTCGAATGGAGCAAGTAAAGTTCCATCGCCAGTAGGCACGTGAGGGATTAAAGTTTTATTTTTATTATTTTCATCTTTTATTTCTTTGTAAGATACGATTCATTTTTCAGTTGAGCATATAACATATTTATCTATTTCCTCATTATTATGGATCACTTGTAAGCGAAGACATCTTCCATCGAAGTTTCCCCACTGTTTATGCTAGAATTATGGAAATTCGCCATGCAAAATTCACTCACGTAGTTCAAGAATATCATTTTATTTGACTTTCTGATGATCGTCGTCTATTTACACTTAACGTGTGACTAATTTAAACTACAAATATATAGGCAAACTTGGAAAGAAGACTTAGTAGCGATATCACAGGGAGTAATTCACAGCGGAGTACAGGCTGGCACCACTTTGGATTAGATCACAAACTCCGGACGACTGTTCTCCCGGGTGATGAGATACGGACGCTGTTCGCTGGGGCAGCGGAAGGTCTCAAAGAGATGGGTGGCGAACCCACTCTTTTCTCCTGGAAGCTCCAGCATATTGTTCCATATGGAGTTGGCCGCCGCGGCATGTCCCCGCTGGCTGAGATGGAAGCAGTCCTCCGAGAAGAATCGGGTATCCGTCTGCCCGGAGCGAGTGCGCGGAAAGTCCTGGAACTGCGAAAACGGCTGCACATTTATCGTAAAGGTCTGAAATAGGGAAAATAGTGACTTTTTAGATTACGAATTCAAAGAAATTATAAATAAAACAGTGGGGTTAAGAATATGATTTTAAGCTTTCGGTTTGCAAAGTTTAACTATCCCCTAAATGCCAAAGAACATCTCTAGTTGTTCTAATATTTCAAAAAAACATAAAAGTTATTAAAAAAAAATATTTTTAACATCTCTATCATGATACGGGAAAACTTAACCAATTAATTCTGCAAAATTATCTTAGAATTGGTGATAAATACCCTAATTTTAGATAACTCAAGCTCACCTCGGTGTTGAACTCCTCCCTATTGGCAATCTCCGAGTCCTTGGCTATCCAGCGTTTCATGATGCCCTCCAGATAGTCCAGCTGCCCCTTGCCCTTACCCATCAGGCAGGGACACTCGAAGCGGAGAGTACTGTAGCAGATGGGCGGCAGACCCGAAAGGTTGGTCAGGAACCGCAGATTGGGGGCGGGCACTATGTTCAGCATCAGGCGGGGCACATTGTCCCTGAGGTAGCGATAGGTCTTCACCATATTCCTTTCGTGCCAGTCGACTGTCTTCTCCGGTTCCGGATAATAGCAGATGTCCGTGCAAAAGTCGTTGTTGCCGATGAAGAGCGTGATCAGCTTCCAGTCGGCGGTCATGTTGACTTTGGGATCCCGCTGCATGCGCCGTACCAGAACCTTGGCCATATAAGGCATATCCCTGGACATGGCGGCCAGTTCGGCGACATCGAAGCGGGATGTGCGGTCCGTGGAGATCCCGTCCTTGATCGCATAACCGTACAGGTTGGGGTTGAACTCTTTCAGGATGTTGGGCAGCGTGAGGTATTTCCGCCAGTCGTACTGACCCCCAATGGACCACACGACGCCCCGGTTCTCCACGGTCACATGGAGTAGATTCGTGGCGAAGATCCCGTTTCCGGCGGTCAAAGAGTCACCCATTGCTCCTATCACATCGATGTCACCGGGTCTCAGGCGGTGCACACTGGTCGGTCGCTCCTGACTCCTTTTTCCTGGTCCATGCTCTGCATCGCAGAACTCCAATAAGGCTCGCGTACGGGGATTCGACTTTTGGGTTTTCTGAAAAGGTGGCAATTCGGAAATAAGACTATTATGACTTAGTACATACAACACGTTCTTATCTTATCTAATAATTGCTTCAACAACTAAAGATAATTGAACTTACGAAGATATCTAACAACTGTTATAAACTATTTTGTTTTCTTTAATATGGCTAAGGAAAAATCATAAATCAAAACCTATTTAACCATATAATACACATTTAAAATATTATTTGCTCAATAAGACACCATCAAACTGGTCAATTAAAATGAAATAACAGTATATTGACCTCATTTCGGATGAGTTCTTAATGCCAAACAAAAGGAAATAATGATCCGATCGAATCCGGATCAATGATTGCATTATCCGCTGGACTTACCCCCGCGATTTGCACTCGCTGCACGTTTTGTGGATCGTCGCCAGATCGTCCGGTAAAGGCCAGGCCCAGAAGACGCAGCGGTCTGTAGACATTCTTCAGAGCCACGTCAAGTGACGTGCGCTGTGACGTCACATGGCCGAAAGTGATCAGGAAGAGGAGGCCAAAGCAAATTAGCCGATTCGATGACATCTCGAAAGACAGCTGAGGCGAGAGATAAGATAAAAGCCATGTAAGTCTTAACCAGGTCTGAGGGCCCGCCTTCTCTTCACTCTCGGTTTCGCTGATGACGTCCTCGACTTTGAACCAGTTCGCCGAGCTTGGCCAAGAAATTACACAGAAGCCAAGCTCACTCCTCTTCAGTTTATTCACCTTTGGCTGTTTTTGGCTTTTGTTTTAGCTCGTCGGCTTGGAGCCGACTAATTTTAACATTTTAGCATTAAATAATATTGACCACATTATGCTAATTTGTTGCTACGGTACAAAATCTTGCGGAGCCAAAAAAAAACAAAATGACTAATCAATTTGGGTAGGTGAGAACAATATTTTCATGAATAACCACCACATGGGCTAGAAACGAGATTTTAATTATTCCCATGAAACTCGAAAAAGACATCATATAATTAGGTATTATTATTGATAAACGTTTTCCTCAAGAAAGATCTAGAAACTCAGATGTTTCTATTCTGACATGTTATAATTCCAGCTATAAATAACAGCTTAAGCATTTTAATTTATTGCATAATCTGTAGACATTTTAAACACAATTACTTTAAGGAACACAAGAGCGTAATTCATTTTAATGGCCTTTGAAAGTTATTCTATTTGTTTCATTATTTATTACTACGTTTCATTAAGATCTAAATCACCATATCTTATGCATACAACTTTAAGTCATTCATTAACATTGCAAAAGAAAAAAACAAAGTCCAGTTCACAAAGTTGCCGAAAATGGTTAAAATTATCCAAATTATACGGAAGTTTCGAGGAAGGGGGAAACCGAAGTGGGGATATATAAGACATCTAGAGAGCGTGCCAAATCCAGTTGTGATAAAGATAGATTTAAATTTCGATTTCATTTAGCCAACCGAATTTGCTTCCTTTCAGCGCCACGCGAAACAAAAGACTTAGGAAGCGAACGCGAATATATAGAACAACGCGGAATCATACCTTCTTATGTATGTATGTTTATGTAGATTCAAATAATCTCAAAGACTATAATTGTTGTCAGGGGATTTGCAACCGGATAACTTTTCACTTCACTTCTCTTTCTGTGTAAATCTTGCAATTATACTTTTCCCACACAAATTGCACAATTACTGAAGGACCCCGATCAACTATTTATTCCAGGCCAAAAGCGCGATGAGCGTCCGGCTCCGACGATGGCTTAGAACCAACTGCTGGGTAGAATTTCTGATTATGCTGATTTTATACGGAGTGAGTCCCAGCGGGCAGCGTACGACGACTACGCATAGAATAAAATGGAATACAACTAAAAACAAAACCACAAATAATCGCATGTGCGAGACGGGCAAAACAGAACAAAAGTAAAAAATGTATATTGGTTGTCAGAGATTCGGACTCTCAGGCACATACCGGTTGAAGCCGCGACTGCGAAGCGCTAAATGTGATCTTCACTTTCGTTCGGCCGATAAAAATAGTCTCCAGACACTGTTTCCAGCCCAAAGTGGCGGCTATTACACCTGTCATGCGTGGAAACAGCGATCGCGATCGCGATTCTAAGTCAGCCAGTCATCGTGCCTTGCGGACTGTAATAAAATCGGACACTCGCTATATAAATAGAAGAGCTCGGACTTTGGTCCAGACCATAGCCGTTTATAGACGCTAATTGGCCGATGGGGATTTTTAATAGTCGGGATGGCCATAAAAGAGTAAAGGTACTTATAAATTTACATTTGCATTGGCAGGGAACCCAAAGCTGGCCATTATTTGTTTCCGATCCAAAGTCGCAAATAACACTTCCTATACAAGAACCTGTGTCTTGCCTAGTGCAATTGACTAACCTTGTGTCAATACAAAAATAACGGCCAGAAGCAATTAAAGCCAAACAACGAATCTGGAGAAGAAGCAGCAGCAACTTGTTATAAATCAACGAGCCCAATCGACAAGAAGGAACCGTCAAAGCGCACAAAATACAGCCACATCAAGTCGAGTCAGCTTCTTGCCTGATTTATGACGTAGGCAGACAGCCCGGAGAACGCTTTAACTTGTGTATGGTATACTAGATGTCACTTTGGAGGATGATCCGATCCAAACGAGTGCCGGCGTTAATCTCAAAAGATCTTTGGGGTTGATATCACTCAATTGAGGGACTTAAGTTCAAATGAAACCAATAACAAAGGAAAACTTTTTTCTTCTTTAGCTTCATTGATATTTAGGAATATCCATTTTATCCACTTTAAGTTATTTAACTTTTTGGAAATAGATTATTTAAATTATATATTTACACCAAAATATAGAACAAACCAAACTATTTTGTATTTATAATGATTTCTTAATATTATTTTATTAAATAAAATAATAAAAAATTCTATAAATTTTAATAACATTAAATTATATTATTTCAGGAACTAGTTTGGAGGAGATTGCTAGCACTGGTGCAATCTGTAGTACATCGATTAGCTTGAATATATATAATAAATTGAATCGCACGTCACTTCTTATCAGGAATGCTAAGTAAGGGCTGAGTTTAGTTTTAATTCTGATTTGGCACTGGTTGGTAAGCGGATTAAAAGTAAGACTCGTATATGGCCCTAAAAATGGATATAAAAATAAATAACTTTTTATTAAGTTAAAAAAAAACATATTTTAAAAATGCTGAAATTGGCTTTAAGTTTCTATGGTGATTAGCGTCATAAAAAACGCGATAATCATAAGGTCGATGAGAGAAGATAGCTGATAGCTGATAAGCAATCGGTTGGAATAGCATTGGATGAATCATTTTTGTAAATAATATAATAAATATAATTAAATATGGATTATCGTTTAAACTCAACGCCTTATCTAACAATCGTTGATTTTCCGAGGTTTCAGATTTTAAAATTTTTGGTTGCCATGAATATCGACAATCTTAACAACCTTTCTCAGATATCTCAAGGATCCTCTCAAGAATCTACTACTGACAATAATTTTGTAAGTACAAATATAATCATAATCTTTAAACTCTATGTAAATAAATTACTATTTCAGTACAGTTGCGATGTTGAAGTAGTAAGCAGAACAAGGGATCAAAACAGGATTGTGCAAGGACTAAAGGCCAAAATTATTGTTCTAGAGCGGAAACTGGTGGATGCCGAACTGAGTTGCGAAAACCAAAAGGAAAGGAATGATCTATTTGCACGCATAATTAAGGATAAGGAGGATATTATAAGGACCTTAAATGTTTCGATCGAGTTGACTAACAAATTCAATGACTCGAAAATGAATCAGATGCAAAGCGAAATTGATGAACTAAAAAAGGCGCTCGACATAAGCAACAATCAGAATACAACTAAGTCCCCTGAAGATAAATTTGAAAAACAAATGAAAAAAATCCATCCGATTCCTGGCCTCAATGACTTTCAAGCAGTTTTTCAAGATATTCCCTCCGCCGGTTCTGGTTGGATGGTAATACAGCGACGTATCGATGGAAGTGTCTCCTTTAGCGAGATGCAGTTAGAGCATGATTTTTGTTATAAAACTGGATTTGGAAATATTGCAGGAGAATTCTGGCTTGGTTGCGAAAAGTTGCATTTATTGACTACAAGTCGAAGACATGAATTGTACATTCAATTGGTCGACTTTGATGATTGCATTACCTTCGCTAGATATGATAACTTTTCGGTTGGGAGCGAAATCGAAGGATACTCCGTAAAGTCCCTTGGCTTATACTCTGGTAATGCTGGCGATGCAATGTCGGGTTCTCTGAACAGGAAATTCAAACACTACGAATGTTACTATTCCGGCTTGGGAAAACTTCTTCATTGGTCTTGGTGGATTGGTTCTCAATGGTAATAACATACATGATTAACAGATTTTTACTATTTAACACTGTGATATTTTTTCAGTAATTTAAATGGATATTACCATTCGTCCAAAATCGTTCTTACTGACACAAATGGAGTTTGGTGGGGCAATTGGAATAACCGGGGAAGAAGCTCTCTGAAGTCATGTAAAATGCTGATCAGGCCAATGCTAAACTAAATAAAGCTAATACACAAATGCAATGAAAAAAAAACATTTTGTTATTGATATAGTGGAAAAATCATTTTAAAAAGTGATGTTTTTTAAGATTTTTCAAATCCATTTGTTTTCAATTCCATTATAAAGTAACAGGAAAGTGATTTACCTAAAAAGGATTCTAAAAGGAGGGTTTAGGTTGAAAAAAGCCTTTTTTCCAAATTTGAGTTCGTTGCCTTACATTTTTTTTCAAAATAATTCGATTTTGTAATTATTAGCCGAAAAGTATGCTCTATAAAATATATGTTTACTTTACACACAGGCAGAGGCGCCAACATGTAGGTATGTACGTAATGTTTTGTATAATAATTTGTAAAAATTATTATATATCAACGTTTTGTTGTTACAGGATCAAAATCATAACAAGTTAAAATAAAAAATGAGCTGAACAAGCAAATTAACTAAATTTGAATTATAGTTTTCCCGCCTAGTGGATTTTTAGTTACAAATCGGGGTTGCTCGAGTGCGTTTGGTATAAAGGCAGTTCCACCGTCTGGTAACACTGCTCTCAGCTGTTTTTACTGACACTTACGTTGGCTTACGTTTTGTTGACACTTACGTTTTGTTACGTTTACTTACGTTTGTTAAAACGAAACCCCCACCTCCCACCTCTAAAAAACAAAGCAATTCTCTTGGTCGACCAGAATTTAATTTAATTTCGCTGGCAAAAGTCGCGCCTTAATCGCCAAATAACTACATATTTACCTCCCCTCCCCGATATAATTTGACCTAGGATAGGAATTGCTGGTTGCCCACTCACCGCCACCGCTCCACCGACCACCGCCCCTTGCAAGGACCCACCATGAGCTCCAAGGACAAGTCCAAGTTCAAGCTGTTCCTCAAATCGCTGCCGGCAGGTAACAAAGAGCTGGGTGCACCCTTCTGGTCAGGCCAATTGAAGAGTTCTAATGGGACTTCCGATTCGATTCACAGGTTATGTGGGCGAGCGGACTCTGCGGCCGGAGTTCGAGAGGGAATTGCGGCCGGAGCAGCCGGTGGCTCAGCGATGCAGGATGCTGAAGGAGCTGGGCGACATGCAGCTGCACAACTTCAATCTGGACGAGGTGGGTTTCGTTGCATTTGTCGAATGAAAACTACTTATATCCTTATACTGACCCCCTGCAGACCGCCATCACCATTCTGTTCAATCTCACCAACGATCTCATCGTGCCCAACAAGCCGGCCGAAACGCGGCAGATTGCCTTGAGCTTCTACAAGCGGCTCATTCACACACAGTACAAGAACCTGACCATAATGCGGGAGAAGTTCTTCCTGGTCATCCAGAACCACGAAGCGCGCGAGGATCTGCGCCACCTGCTCGAGCTGCTCGACACACTCACCGACAATGGGAAGGACATCACCAACTTCGAGGAGAAGGTCGGTCTGGGATTGATTAACCCAGGGCCATCGGTATCTCAATCCCGTCTTGCTCTTACAGATTGGTAAGTTCATGCTGCTCTGGATCCCAGCCATCACGGAGGCCAATCTGCTCAGCCCCTATCTTGACATCCTGGTCAACCTGATCAAGTTCAATGCGGCCCATCTGGACAAGGACATCCTCGTGGGCATCGTGCAGTGAGTGTTGCTACACTTAACTCAAAAACATGTTGTCTAAGGTAGTCTTCTTTCAGGAACGCTTGCGATCTGAGCTGCAGCGTCACCGTCAACGAGATCGGACTGCAGTGCCTTACAATTCTCGAGATGGTCATCGGGTACACCATCTTCCCCAGCGAACCGCTGCCGCAGTGCATCACCACGTTGTGCCGGACTGTAAACCATGCCCCATACTGCCCGTCGTCTTTTAAGGTGAGTTGTTAGAAAATGCAGAAATTAGTATTGTGGATTACTGAATTTGTACTTAGACCTAAAAGTTTAGAAACGCTTTTTCGTAAATCTTGTGTTTAAAGATGTCTCTATTTGGTTATATAGAAATTCCAATTATTTGTTCAATAGCAAACGAGTTTACAATCATAGAAACATTTTAATATATCATTTTAATTAAGATTAATTAATTTTGTTGGCTTTTTAAGTACTTAGCTTATATTAGGGTCGATAATGTAATTACTTTTTAGAAGTTAGATATTGCTTTATTTATTAGATTGATCGCTTAAAACAATCGCTTATAATGAAATGAACTTGGAAGAGAACTTGTCGTAGTTGCTGACTACCTCCAATGGAGACTGCGGCTGTTTGGCATTGGTCTCCGACTCTGGATTGTCTTTATGATGGACCACCTCTTTTTCAACATTTTTCTGAATTGGCTGGGGCACCTCAATCTTCACTTCATTTTTGACTGGGACGTTCATCACGGCCACTTCTTTCTCCTTTTCCGACTCCTGCTCCAGCTTTTCCTTCACCACATGCGCCTTCTGGCAGTCGTTGCCCAAGTCAAGACTACAGTATCGCTGAACAGCATCGAAGTACTGACCCCGTGGACAGCGCATCTCCAGCACCCGCTTCCTGGCACACACATAGTATCGCTGGCAATCACGGCTGTGCGGCGCCAGGCGGCTACCCGTCCGGATGCATTCGTCCAGAGCGAGAGCCTGTTCCGTCAGCGTCGGCGGCATTGTGGGCTTTTCCAGGCAAATGCCCGAGTGATCCGGCAGGCAGCTACCCACGTCCTCGTTGAAGTAAGCTCCCGATGGACACTGCACCAGCTCAGCCTGCCCAGAGTGACAGCGGAAATATGTCTCACAGTCGCTGGGATTGGACAAGGTGGCATTATCCGGCAGAACACAGCTGCACTGATGGGCTGCAGTTATGGCCACGGGAAGGCATGCTCTGCGGCCCGGGTCGAAGTAGTTTCCTGCAGAGCACTTGGCCACAGCGAAGGCTCCATCCTCGAGGCATTGTCTGTATTGCAAGCAATCGTCTTTAACTCGCTGTACACTGTTGGCTAGTCCACACAACAAGGACTCATCGGAGCAGGATCCGGGCACACAAATCATCAGCTTCTTGCTAAAATGATACTCCGCCGGACAGCTAAACTCCTGGAAGGGCAGCTCCTCGTCGCCAGTGCAAACATAGAACCGTTGGCAATTGAACTCATGGGGCAGCATTTGCCAGGCATCGGAAATCCGACATACTGAGGCTATATCTGGATAGGCTATTCCCGATGCTGCGGTGATGCCCAAAACCAGCCATAATACCAATAAGCGATCTGGAAAAGCCGAGAACTTTTTGATAATCCTGTAGCCACTGTTTTTGCTCTACTCACTATGCATTTCTGTAAGATGAGAGCTTTCGTTAGGAATCCGTCGAATGTGGTGTTGATTGGATGTGGCTTCGCCTTTTATGTACTCGCATTGGCGAGGATTTATCTGCTCATTTTCTCATTTGGCAATCGCTAGCAGAGATTGCTCCGACAATTGTTTATTAATACTAATGAGTATTCTGCTCATTATCTGCCACGATATTTTCACCATTTATCGAGGGCTCCGCTGACTTCAGCGCCCCTTATCAGTCGACATGTTCCGGCCGATGATGATTAACCCTAGCTCCAAATTAAGAGGTGATCATTGAATCTGTGACATTTGGTAGGAAAAACGCAATCTCAAGGCCCTTAAGATACCGAAGATAAACCAGAGGGGCGCTGACCCAGTTCCTTTCAAAAGACCTTAGTCCAAGGTTTTCACTTTTGGTAAACTATATGTCTATTGCATATCCTTGGATTGAGATTTTAATTTATTTAAACTTTACAAAATTTAGTTTTATGCATAGTAACAACCGATCAGATCTTTGGGCATACATCGCAGCACATCAAATCCGATTGCCGTCAACTTGAGAGCGGCGGCCCGGGTTCCATATTCGACTGCATCCCTTAGCCGCATCTCCACCTTGTGCAGGGCATAGATCACGGACGCCGAAAAGGTGTCGTTCACATACACACGATCCACGATTTCTGGCGGGATCTGGGAACCCACCTTAAAGTAGGTGTCGTCTGCCATCAGGCAGCTGGCCCCCTCCACATAGTTGTTGTAAATGACAATGGGTTGATTGTTTGGCGGACCATTACACTTTTCATCTGAATCCTCGGCCGGCGGATCGGGTGGCAGGTATGGCATCTTTCGGGGCTGGCTCTTCTCCCAGCGAGCCCGTGCCGCCCGCATTCCATCCCTGAGCGCCCAAACAACCTCACGTCCATTCATGAAGGCGTAGGTGCGCATCATGGTCTTCCGAGCGAAGACGTAGTCCACCATACTGGCCATTAGCATGGTGGCTGGCCGCATGTTGTCCAAATCCACGGAGAGCATGATCCTGGACTCGGGACAGCGCTCGTTGAAGTCAATTACTGCCATGATCATGCGCTTCATCTCGACGGGATTGCGGCTCTCGAAGTGGATCCACGAGTACTTCTGATAGTCGACGGCGCCCACGAACTGCTGGTAGGTGAGCTCCTGGTTGGCATTGAAAAACTCCAGGATGGTTCGTGAATCTGCGTTCCGCTGGACAATGATGCTGCGGTGGGCAGGACGGTGGTTCGTCAGGGGACAATTGGAAATGTCGATGCCCTGCGATTGGAAACTAGTCAACAGGCTCTCGAAGGCTCGCGCACTGCTCAAAACGCCTAGGAACTCGCACTCCAATCCAAGTCGCCTCCACACGGTGCAGATGTTGGCCGCCGGACCGCCGCGCCGCCAGCTTCCCTCCTTCGTGCGCTGCACCTGGCCTGGTACTAATGGTTTGTCAACTATGATGATCATGTCCAGGGTGCAGCTGCCCACGGCTAAAACGTGGCGCTGGGGAGGCGGAGGTGGTGGAGGTGGGTCCGACGGAAGGTGAAGCACCCTCTTAACGGTTATGAACTCCTTAACGATTTGCTTTTTCATTTTTGAGGACTTTTGAATTTTGACTCCTGCCAAATATGATTGTGTATTGACAAAAATGTCAAAGAAGTTTAAAATATTCTTGTGGGAAGGTTTACCAAGAGATAACATCGGGTTGGTAAATTGTTATTTTACTTTATAAGACCTTAAACAAATACAACAAGTGGAAAAGGGTTTTCTAAAGATTTTATAAAAACCACATGATTATCTTCACTTTTTTTTAATTTTCAGATCATGAAGAACCTTTTGGGCACTCAGTTAGGGTACCATTCCATGAAGATGATGTGTTGCATCCTTAATGATCGCGCTCTTTACGATGACGCGCACCTCTTACGTGGGGCCGTGTTCCACCTGAACATGAACATCTTCGGATCGAACATTATTTTTCAGGTTTCTCCAATGACCTATGCAACGAATGTGCTGACGGCCTTCCTGCGGGTAAGCATAATCATTTTTGAACAAAGATTGAAAATACGTAGTTATTATTATTTCTTTAGGCACTGGACAGTCGTCAGGTGATCGTAACCTTCGAAGTGATCCTCAGCGTTCGCATGGTGATCAACAAGCGGCAGCTTTCAGAGATCATTTGGGATCGGATCTGCGACATTATGTCCTCGATAGTTAGCAACATCGAGTACTACGAGGCAACCAACATAAATAAGGATCGCCTGCACCACCTGCAGATCAATTTCCACGAGAACATCGACTGCATCGAGAAGCTGTTGCAGCAGGACCGATCCCAGATTCTGGGCAATGTGGAGCGCATCTACGATCTCATTGAGCGAGTAGCAGATCGACGGCCAGAAGCCTCCGTTCTCGCACTCATCGAGTACCGATCCCGCCGAGTTACGGCAACACGGCCAGAATGGCTCCAGGTCCTGGCCCAGTTCGTTCGTCGCTATTATCGCATGTCCAATGTGAGTGTGCGCATCAAGACGATCGAGGCTCTGGTGAGAATTATGGACCAGAACCGTGCCTGCTATGAGGAAGAGATCCTAAGTAGAGTGGTGCTCGTGCACCTGTCGCACATCCACCAAGAGCCAAGTGTACAGGTGCGAGTGGCAGTTGCCCGTGCTCTTTCTAACTTTGCCACGCACTGCGATACTAAGCGGTGCATGGACTTGCTGGACATCTTGGAGGCACTCATCAATCGTCCCTTTGAGCACACGCGTCATGGATCATCGGCTGGAGACGCTTCCCTGACGGATGTGTCCGTGGGCATGGTAAACAATGAATCTGAGATCGCCGATATTATCGCTGCCGTTGATGGTTTGGTCAAGGTGTTCGCAATCAAGTTGCACCGCCTCCCAGCGGTCCATGCCCTTAAAATTTTTAACATTCTTATGGATCACCTGGAATTGCACTACGAACGACCCAAAATCTTCGAGCACACCAGCGTTGTGCGCCATAAAGTAAGTGAGAATTACAAACAATTTCTGTTTTAAATACATTAGCACTGCTGCCAATGTTACCCATTATAAAATAACACGTCTTTGTTCCCACCTACAGATATTTACCTGGTTGTTAAAGGCCCGGGCCAATGGCTCCTACCACATTGGCTATCCGGAGGGCAGCAACGAGGTGGTAAAGTTCAGTCACTACCTGGGCATTGATTCACCTCTGCTGGCACAAGCTCACACCACATCGATATCCATTCGAAGGGTCTGCAAGCTAATCGTGAGGTGTCTGGAGTACGACACTGACTATCAGGTGTTCCAGCTGGTCATAAAGGAGCTGCCCAAGGTGCTTCAAAACAAGGCGCTCGTCCAGGGCAACGACATCGAGGAGTTGGCCAACTCTCTCCTCAAGATCAACTCGGTTAGCACCAATAAGTTTAAGCGGCCCACCGACGAGATCCACGCCCTCGTGTTGCCCGCCATAGCTTCCCTAGTTATCTACCACGAAAGCCTGCAGCCGCAGCAGCACTACGGCATTATAACTGCTTTGAATTCGAGAGTTCTTACTGGCATTGCCAGCGTCTGCATCAACACCATGACCATTCTGATATTAGAGATGCCAGAGGCGCTGATGCGAAAGCTGCCGGACGTGCTGCTTCAAATGAGCAAGATGTCTGATACGAATGCGCTGGCCACTCCGGTTCTGGAATTTTTGTCCTGTGAGTAAATGGAAGATAAATACTAACTAGAAAGCGTCTATATCTGCTAAATAATGATAATTAAATTTTTGTGGTAGTGTTGATCCATCTGTCCAAACATCTTTTCGCGAACTTCACGTCCATGCACAACATGTACGTGTTTGCCATCACGCTGCCGTATACAAAACCTCATCGCTACGACCACTACACTGTTTCTCTTGCCCATCATGTCATTGCCGGCTGGTTCCTCAAGTGTAAGCTGGAGCTGCGAAAGAACTGTGTGAGCTACATCAAGAGCGTAAGTATATGGAACAACTTTTTATACCCTTTACTCGTAGATTAAAAGGGTATACTAAATTCGTCGGAAAGTAAGTAACATATAGAAGGAAGCGTTTCCGACCCCATAAAGTATATAGTCTTCATCAGGATCACTAGCCGAGTCGATCTAGTCATGTCCGTCTGTCCGTATGAGGGCTGAGATCTCGGAAATTATAAGAGCTAGAGTGTTGGGAATTGGCATGCAAGTTATTGGACTTCCTGCGCAGCGCAAGTTTGTTTCAGTAGGGTGCCACACCCACTCTAAAGCCTACAAGCGACTATAACACTAAAACCGGTGCTACCCCTGTACACATTTTTAATTATTTTGTAAAAATTTAAATGAGAGTTAGTTTTTATTATCATTACCTACGGGTTTCTAATAGAATTTGATCTTTAAAGTCGATCCAGTCCAATGCCAAGATGCTGTCAAGCGACATTGTGAACCTAAACTCGCTGAACGAGGACTCATCCAACCGAAAACGCAGCACAAGTCTCACGGAGCGCGGTAGTCGAAATAATGCCAATGCTTGGAACGATCTGGAGATGCGGCCGCAGATGAACAACGTACTTCGCAACTTCCACGCCGAGTTGGCTGAGACCTGCTTTGACTTCCTGGCCCGCCACACCTATTCGCCATGTCCGTCGATGCCTAAGCGGTGGGTTTTTTTTTGTTATAGCTTATTTTACAACCTTAAATATAATCTAAGTTGGTCCCGCCGAAGTCTATATACCATAGCAGCTATAATTACACAATTTGTTTTGCAGTCTTCCTGCCGCGGAGTTTCTACTGAAGGATGGCGTTTCGCAGACCTGGCTTGTGGGACACAACCTGGTGACCATCACCACCTCAGGCTGTCCGTCGGCGCCCACGCGCAGTGGTCTCTGCGAGCGATGTGCTCAGCTGGGCAAGGCTCCCAGCATCAGCTTGAACTCGAAGAGCCTCAGTGATGCAGCTCCTCCACTTTCGCCCGAGCGGGAGAGGCGCTACACTAAGGTGAGCCTGCAGCACAGCAGCGGCAATGAGTCGGCGGGCAGTACGGAGCTCACCTCATCCTCGTCCTCCAACTCGGCGACCGCGGCAGGCCATCCGCACCGACAGATCTCCAACAGTTCCACCGCTTCGCTGGACGCGCTATCCCGTCGAGGCTCTAACCCCGAGGCGCTGGGCGGCGGTTTGGGCGATGGACCACACACGGGAAGCAACACCTCGCTCCTGGGCAATTCATTATCTCAGTCCTCCGTGAGCATGAGTCCCTCGACGGCATCAGTGGTGCAGCAACCCGTCTGCGTGCGTGCCTGCACTGGCTGGGCGGAGGTCCTGATTCGTAGGCCCACGGGTAACATATCGTGGATAACCCGCATTCAGAACCCGATCACCAATGATTGCTTTGGCCAGGATCTGCCATTCAACAATGTGGTTTCGCTATTTCTGCCCACAGCCCATGGAGGAGTTTTTGGGCCGGACAACACCATTCAGGTGCCGCCACATCCGTTGGCTGATCCCGAGCCCGAACTGGAGGTTAACCCAAGCGCTGCTCCACAGGCAAGTGCACTGCGCAGTCGGATGGTAGCCAAGGCTCGTGCCCTGCAGCGCCAGGAGGAGATTCACTCGGTCGGTGGAGGAAATGGAAACGGGAATGGTAACGGAATTTCTTCGAGCAGCGGAGCAGCAGCTGCCATCCCTATACCTCGGGTCTCAGCAGCCGGAAAGCGAGGCAAAGAGGCAGCTCTCTGCGGAAGCGTGAGTGATGGCGAAGCAGACGACGATTCCCTGGCATTTGAGGATGCCCAGAGTCGCGCACGAAACCCAGTCCGCCGGGTAAACTCCAGCCCGGAGATGAGCTCCAGCTGGCGTCAGTCGTTTTTGGCCAACAAGCCGACGCCGCTGTCACAGGAGCCCCTGAAAGCCACCGGCGATGAACCCCAATCGCAGTTGACTCTTAAGAAGAAGAGTGTCCAGTACAGCACCAAAGACATGCGCGTGAGCTGCGAGGCCATTCCGGAGGAGATAGCCGGCTCCACGCCGCCCTCGCAAGCTGCTGCCCTAGCCCTGCAGCCGGAAAGTGGCACCCTGCCGCCCAAGCAGCATTCGGCGGACGATGTGAGCAGTCATGTAGCTGGGAGCAGCACCTTGCAATCCACCCTGAAGCTGGGAAAACCACCGCTATCGCCTGGACAGCCGCCGTTGCTGGCCACGGGAAGGATAACCAGTTTTGGAACCTCTGTACCGCAACCCGGTGCGCTGGCCAAGTCCAGTAGCAGTGGTAGCAATGGTGCAAATGTTGGAGCAATCACCTCCGATTACGACAATGGCAACAATGGAAACGGAGACATGATGCGAGGTCGTTCGAAAACCATTTCCGTGGTCCGGGAGGTGAATAACGGAAACACACGTCCACCGCCGGCCAGCAGTTTCCGGAACTTCGGGCCCGCCAAGCCACCCATCAACGCCAAGCTGTGCATGAACCCGAGCTTTATTTTCCTGCAGCTGTACAACACTGGTCAGCTGGGCGTAACGGATGAGCCTTTGAAGGTGGGACCCGAAAACAATAGCGCCGTTACCTTAATAGATCTGGTACCACCATTCGAGACACACAAGATCGGCGTGCTGTACGTGGGCCAAGGACAGTGCAACAACGAGGTGGAGATCCTACGCAATTCACATGGCAGTGCCCGATATGTGGAGTTCCTGCGCAACATCGGCACTCTGGTTAGCCTAAAGGAGGCCGAGCAAAACAATCTATTTATTATGCTGGACAGGAATGGGGCGGATGGCAAGTTTGCCTACATCTGGAAGGATGACATACTGCAGGTGAGGTTTAGATATTTAATCAGAAATTATTTATTCTTTATTTCTAATGTGTTTATCGTAGGTCACGTTCCATGTGGCTACGCTCATGCCCACCAATCTGCAGGATGACCCCAACTGCAACGAGAAGAAGAGCCACATTGGCAACGACTTCGTGAAGATCATATACAATGAGAGCGGCGAGGAGTACAATCTAAACACTATATCCGTAAGATAAATATATATCAGTTAAAGTTTATTAAGAGATCTTGTGCTAGTCCTATAAGACTATTTTAATATTCTTTAATTTAATCTGTAGGGCCAATTCAACTACGCCTGCGTGATCGTGGAGCCACTCGAGCTGAACTCAAACAGAGTGTATGTGAAGGCCCGATCCGAGATATCGAAGTTCGTGTGTCATGCAGAGCACCGGATAGTCTCCGATCGCAGTGCTCCTCTGCTGGCTCGACAGATGGCCCTGCACGCCAATGTAAGTATGAATAGGGTTTCAAAATCAGCCCAAGCTTAATAACTAATACTATAAATGTATTCCAGCTCGCCTCGCTAGTTTACCAAAGTGTGCAGAAAAAGCATCCGTATGCATCGAATTGGCTAGAACGATTGCGCAAACTGAAGCGTCTGCGATCAAAGGTGAGAAATCAATTTGCCTTTTTAAGAATAGAGATCATCCGATTAACATATTCTCAACTAGCTCATTGAGGGACTGAACAGCCAGCAAAAATCCGGAAGCGCCTCAAGCGGCATTGGTATCAATGCCTCGGCCATTGGCTCGGATATGGACGCCCAACGAGGAGACTTTATGAAATACACTTAGACAACAACGAGAGGCTCCAAACTGAAGAACAATGAGGGAGCAGAGGACCCTAAGACTCATCCTGCCATGATTCCTCTTGATTTCCAATTTATTTGCAAAGCGGATGATTTGATAACAAGTCACAGCAGACCAACAACAAAAGTCTTTGCTTAACCAATAATCATGAAAATAATTATAATATAATCTTAATGAATTTGACAAGTTTATAAAATTTGTGAGAATACATAAGCGCTGTTCATTTCGAAACTAGTTGTACTTTTTTATGGTTCCACCTTTTTTGCAGAGGTTACAAACTGCTTTTAAAATGTTTATTGTACTTTTTTTTTTAATTTCTTAAATTAATTTATAAAAATATTATTGCTTGACAATTAGTAATATTTACTTAGACAATGGACACGTGCTAACAGTTTTTAAACATAATAATTTTTTCGTCAGGCTTGTTTAATGTTAATAAATTCTTCCAAAGAGACTTACAACAATATTGTCAGCTAGAAGTAAGGTTAGAAAAAACTAGTTTTAGTCTAAGCTGAGTTGTGCAATATGGTCGTAGCCGAACCCAGTGATTTTGTGGCTGGCAACTCGGTTGGCAAAGTCTACGGCTTCCGCCACAGATCGCTGACCCTCGAGTGTGGCGTATATGAATCCCGCCATGAAGCTGTCTCCTGCACCCAGCGTGTCCACCACTTTCTCTTGCTTATAGGAAGCCATTTCGTGGTAACTACCATTGGCATCCACAGCTCCAGCTCCGGCACTCCCCCAGGGACAAATAAAGACAGGTTTCAATCCTGTTCCAGGGATACGGGCTGCCAGTTCCTCACAAGTTTGCCGCGGCGTCTTCCAGCCCAACTGTCCGGCCAGCTCCTTGGAAAAGACCACAAAGTCACATGGTTGACACAGTTCCTGGTTCTGCTCGTACCTCGTTTCCAAGTCCAACGAGATTATAATGCGTTGTCCAGTCCTTGTGTTGTGCTCCCGGATGCTTTGCATCATTTTCAAGGTGTGTGAGGTGTTGCGAGCCTCAAAGTGCACCCATCCATACTCCGAAAGATCAATCTTGCTAAAGTCTTCATAAGTGCTCTGTGGGTAATCCTTATTGCAGTGGATAATAGTGCGTGTTCCGGAATCCTGGGCCAAGATCACTGAAGAGAATGGCGGATCCCTGTCAGTAAGAGGGCAATTCTTGGTGCCGATTTCCCGCTTACGTAGGTCCTCGAGAAGCACTCTGAATGCATCCGATTTGCTGAGCATTCCAAAGAAGTCCACCTTGGAGCCGAGAACCCGGAGAACTGTGCTCACATTGGAGGCGTTTCCGCCACGTTGCCAAAACCCATCCAGGCAACGTCGATCGGTGTCCTCTTTGGGATAACTGGCATTGATGGTCACAAAGTCAATAACCGTGCAACCCACGCAAAGTACGGATTTCGCTTGGCTCATCTCAGTTGATTATTTGATCACTCCGAAATCAATATTAAGGTAATTTATTTTCTACACATAAAATAGGTGGTGATGCTGCTAAACTTAAAGGTATTGCCCGTAACAGTTCCTCTTCTCTAACTAAATCTAATCAAAATGATATACTGACCTATTTTCCTAGCAATCTATCATTTATTAGATTAAATTATAACAATTTATTTAAAATTTTAAATACATTAGTATTATGCTGCTTGATTAGATGGTTTTGGGTCCCCTTTATTTAGTTTTAGCTTTTCAGATCAATCTAATCAATCGATTTTCACCTGCTATTTGTATTTATTGTCGATCGAGCTGCTTTTACAGCTGCTTTTTGTTTTTAAGTTTTCTTATCGCTTATAGAGAGAGCTGCGGGCAATTGAGAATATAATACAGTGTTAACCCTATAGGGTGGTATTATCAACCACCATAAGAGTAGTTAAAAAATGTGCATTGACAAGTGTAAGTTCCAAAATGTTTTATATTTGAAAAAGAAAACAGTCCGTGAAGTTACGAATTAGATTATAATTTTTAGGATTGACGATTTACCGAAAAACCACGTACTTTTGAAAAGAAGTAAAAAAAATCTTTACTAATTTAAAATAATTTCCCTTTTAAAATGTACTTAATGCAAAGAAAATTTGTATGTCATCATTTAATTTAGCATACTGTTTGGTTTATTGTAAAAATTAGATAAAGCTGTTTGCTTATTTTTAGTTCATAGTTTCGAGGAAATACTGTATTAACATCAGTCTCAGCCGCTGATCGCGCTCTTTAGTCCGCTCTCAAAAGCAGTGTGACCGATATGCACAACCGTTATAATATTATTTAATTTTAAAAATATTGAAAAAAATAAAGACCATATGTTAATTAATAAACATTAAATATTATACAAATAGTATTGTCAGTTTAATAAGGGGTTATCCTTAAGCTGAATGACAATAACAACGAAGAGAAAGGCGTTCTAAAATAAATAATTCACTACAACTATTAGTCGAAGCCTTTATAATTAAAGTACATAAGAATATATATATATTTTATTCAGTACCACGATAAATATGATAAGCTTCTAATTTCATCTAATTCCAACTTTTCCAATTAAAATAATATGTTCTCGGGGAGTATCTAGTTTGTGGAGATTATAATAGAAATTCAACCAACTCACCTATGATGTTTTAGACACATACCAGTGAAAGTCGGTCGTGCCTCCGACACACAGCCGTGCAGCATGACGGGGCACAAATTAAAGGATGCCACGGCAAATGTCCTGACTAGACACATACAGCATACAGCATACAGCAGACGCCATGTGGCAGCTTCGTCAACCACAACAGTGAGCTCAGCACAGTCAGTGGCAAAAAGCTGTCACCCAGAAGACAGGATTGATGCCCCATGACTGTCTATCTGCCAAGCCAGTAGCTACAGATTAAATGAAGATTTAATTTTGTTTACAAATGTAGGTGAAACACCGCTGACCTCTCTTGTAAATCAAGTGCTGAAAATAAAGAGTTGGCTTTATATGGTCAGAAAATACTCATACGCCATGTTAAGCATTGCTTAAAGATGCGGCAAGTCTAACAAAAAAACACGATATATAATTAAACATGGGTAACAAAATCAATGGTTATTAGCCATACTTTAAAATACTCTTCTGGCAGTAATTTCCTAAATTTAGGCTACTTAGCACTCCCTTCAACGCCCATTTTTCCCTTGTGTTTAAAGTGCCTTGAGGGGTGGGCAGGCCAACTTAAAGCGGACACAGCCAAAATTTTCAAATTAATGTAAAGCGTGTCAGGCCTGGCCTAAATACACTCCCCCTTAACCGATCCACCGACTCGGTTCCCGCCACAAATCGATAGCTCGACATTTGGTTGGGCCGCCTTGATGGGGTAAACACCTTCTTGGGTACCATTTTGTGGCATGGAATTATGGCCGGAAATTGCCTTAAAGTGTCAATCAGTGTAAACGTTCTTAATAGGTATTTATTTTTGCCATTTTAATTACCCCGCCCCCACCAACGCAACTTCACCACCTTGCCGGCGGACAACGAACTGATGATGATGAAAACGACTGATGACGCCTTAATTACTTTCTCGAGAAAAAGAACTCATTTCCGAGTGAATTTTTCATTGCGAATTTTTTGGCTGCTTGTTAAAGATTAACTGAGTAGGTATTTATAAGCGATTTTAAATTGATCACTTGACAAGATTTCATTTTCTACTTATTGATCATTGCTGGTAGAAACTTCCTTCTTTCGCTCCTTAATTTAATGTTGGCCCTCTTCTTCAACCTGCTGACAGCATATAAATTTTCTGTGCCTGTAAGACAAATTCCCAAGCTTTGAGAGCCAATAAAAATAAATCTTGTTATAAGTATTTCTTCAAACTGTGTGGCATATTAATCAGTTTTAATTAAAGCTAAAGAATTTTATTTGGTTATGTGCAATTTCGGCAACAAGTTGATACATCATATGATATACCTTAGCGGGTTGGGTTGCAAATAGGATTAAATAGGTTTGCAATAAAATAGATTCTAAGAAAACAACTAATTTAGCTTACGTAGAAATACTGAAATTTAAATGCTTTTCAGCTTGTTTTTTGATACAAATTGGCCACTGTGTTGCGATTGGGGGATTATCGAGTGCGTGCCGGTTTTAGTTAACGAATTCAACATTTTCCATTGAATGGCAAGTGGCAGTGGGGCAAACTTCGGAAGCACCGAGGGCCCAAAGCAACTGTTAGCACAGACCAGCTAGCTGTAATCGCACCCCGGAGAACCCCGAACAGCCCCCTGAAAGAGTGAAAGTTTTTAAGGGGCTGTATCCTATACACATATATATGTATGCTGCAAGGCCTGACGACCCAACCCCACACTTCCCCGCATCTTCTGTAAAGGTGTTTCCGTTCAACGCATGAATACTTGTTTTTGTTTCGTCTGGGGCTTTGAGCCGGTTTTTGTTTCGTGTTAACTACCGACCCCAGCCAAGGATGCTCAGTTTATTTTATTTTCCTGATTTATTGGAACATTTAAAAATCCAAGGAACATACAAATTTAAGAAATTTTTCAGCATTTAATACTTGTCGCCTTTTAGCAAATGTAAAATCCCAGGTCATTTTAAAAACAAATGCTTCTTGAGCTTATAAAAACACTAGTGTTTATGGAAACCATTTTATCTGCGCCGTTATGAGCCATTGCACCTGATTGGATTAATGTATTCGAGAACATCAGCATGTACACACAACCCATAAATAAACCCATTCGCAACGTTGGCAGACCAGGTTCCAATCCTTTTTTCTTGGCCAATAAAAATATATGACTTTGAAATTGATCAAGGGGTGGACCGTCAAATGAGAGGGCTTTTACTTATGACGAATGCTTTGAATCCACGCTCTGGGGAGTAACGAAATTAAATTAAATTGTGCCCGAGACTTTTTCTCACGTTCAACTCAGGAATCATAACTCATTTCTAGAGTGTTTAATGCACTTTGCGAATAACCACCAACTTTTTATCGTTTTTCCTTCGGCGAGACTCGTAAAGAAGCACGGTGAATAGTAAATTTCACAAGGCTAAATTTAAAGTGCTAACAATAATAAAAAATAGTATACGATTAATTCCTACCAAGCGAATTTTGTTATATTTAAAAATCCGAGCTAAATCAGAAGTAGATTTTAATAATTTGACCGAATTTCCAATCTTTAAATTCAAAACTTCAATTCAGTGAAATACATTTAATGTAGGTTAGCAGATTAAAGACACGCAAACTAAGAATATACATATAAAACACTTATTTATGGGCCATATATTTAATTCAATAATTCAACCGTTGTCACTTACGCCTTTCGTGAGGAATGGGAAATGCTACAAACGGACGATTGTTAGCATATAGGACATTGCCAGGGTATAAATTAGAGAAATAAATTATATTTATCAATGAAACCCATAAATAATATTTATTTTCGCCCGTGACAGGGGATGCCATCCGCACACCTTGCTGACGTCGAATTTCGTGCTTGTTTGTCAGCATCTGTACTTTGTGGTTGGGTGGGAAATGCGTCTTTGTGAAAAGCCCACAAAGCATCAATCAAAGGAATTAAATACAATTATAATTGTCTGTCACCGTATCGAGATGAAAAGCCAGCCGCAGAGGATTTTCCGAGACGTGAGAACATTTCTTCTTAGCCTACCCTAAATTTGATAAAGTATGTACTCCAACTTAGAGTGAACCTTTTGACTACATTAAAACCCAAAGTAATGTATGAATTATAAGCATTCAGTCTGTTTTTATAAATTACATTGATCATAGAAAGTTATAGCAACAAGAATTGTGAAATATGGTTTTTGTATCTGTAACATGTTAAGTGCGTTTTATTTTATATAGGTTCACCCAAATGTAAGTTTATCACCTAAGGCAAGTGATGACATTCATGAGAAATCATACAGCATGATAATAAACTTTTTAATACTACTTTAATCCAGATGTTCACTGTGATGTACCAAATACTTTAATTCCAGATAAGATCTATTAACGTTTGTCAAGATTATTATTAATTGTTTTCGTTAATCTTGTGTACATATCTTTTAAGGACTACAAGTGACTAAAGTCCTTGTGGATTTCGTCAAAAGGTGCTAATTCCTATGCCAAGATCTATCTATTTCAACTGAAAGACATGAATACTGTTTGAAATATGCGGAGAACTGGAAAATTAAAAGGCGATATATGAACTCAAGCTGAACTCATATAAGGGCTTGGAGTCCAATTTTATGTTTGACATCCTTTCCGCATTTTTAAGTGTATGGGACAATGAAAGGCCAAAGTGAAATGGAAATTTGAAAGGTTTTCTCCAAAGGTGCATCCTTCGAAAGTATCTTTTTTTGGCATTCCTCCTAAGTGAATTGAATTGAAAACAAACGGAGAATGGTTGCACACTTTGGCACAGAGACGACCGCAGGGCTTGAGAAAGAACGAGCAAAATGTTTAATTTCCGGATGCACAGGCCGTTGAATTTAAAGGAGGCGGCGCCGAAATGTATGCAAGGAATATCATGCAGATGCTTCCGGCACTTGGCAACATGCAAAAGGTCGTTGGGTGGGCGGTTCGGTGGCCAGTTGGGTGGGTCGATAGGGTGTAGAGTGGGCAGTGGAAGGGGGAGTGGTCGTGAGTCACTGAGAGGTCGCCGCTCGGACAAAGAGCCCGTCGAGTGTGTGCAGCTGAAAGTGAAACGCAATTTCCGCACTCTTTTTGTGTCCACTATGCACAATTGAAAAAATCTCAAAGTACAAGAAGAAAAAAACCGAAACTAATAAAATAAAGTAGAAAATTACTGAAT